AAAGACACGCGGTTTATGTCGCAGATACCTTATAACTCTTCGGTAAGTGTTTGAGCAGAACTCCTTCAGCGACCTGCAGCTCGTCTCTGTTCAGGACTTTCATGTTTGGATACCGGAGTTTTCTTACTAATGCACTTTAAACAACCTGCTGTTTTAAAACATCCCAATCCACCAGAATGGAGAAACCTTTATAAATTATTAACAGTTTAGGCAAAGTCCGTAGGGCTACGATATGACCGCATTGCTCCGGTTGTGAACTTGTGAAATAAACGTAGCAGGCTACTTCCTGTCATAAAAATAACTTCGTTAATTCACCGTCAGAAGGTTTTGTTTTTTTTTTGTTTTTTTTTTAAATATGCGTATTAGTTTTCTATTGCGTAAGAAAAGATATAATGAAATCTGTTAGCGTGTTCATGGAGTGTTCAGGAAAAATAAATATAAAAATAAATATAAAATTAAAAAAATGTATTTTTCCACTTATTGTATCCCAACAACTTTAAAAAGTGGGACAAAGACTGTGCTTGTCTGGGACACGTAGATGACTGCTGAGAAGTGGTGTGTTTGGAGTTGAGTGCGTGAAGGACAAATGCACATCTCCCTCTTCCTCTGTAGTTGAATTAGCCTACACTGACTTCCATCTCTTACAAGCAATCTGTATTTGCTGTAGTTCCATCATATTCTGCACAGTTTGTGTCTTATTGGTCACTTTTAATTTTGAGTACAGGGCGCCAAACCTGCACTTGACCCATGATCTGACATCAAGCTTCTGCGTTGACTTCCACTGCTCTATCCACCAACGTTTGGGTAGACTGAGAGCAGTGGGAGAGTGGTTAAACAAAGCTCCTTATAGATGTTAAAATGAAAAATAATGTGAATGACATTTTCTGTTGTCAGTCATGTCTGGTCCCAGATTTGTTTACATTCTCCTTCCTCTTAGTCAGTGGGTAGGTATCCAGAGAACTCATCACCATCAACGACAACAAAGAAGCTCTATTGAGCTAAAACGTCATCCTTGTGTGCATTTACCACACGGACACATTAAAGTTTGTGTGCAAGTTTGTCTTTATTTTAAAACTTATCTGAAAAAAAGCAGCTAACGATCAATTTGACTACACAAAAGTTTATTTGCTTGGTTTACTGATGAGGCAAAGTTGCTTCTTTAAAAATCAGGGAGACCTAGTTTGTAACACTGGATAGTTAATTTTGGAAATTTAAAACAAGTTTAACTAGTTAAGCAGTGCAGTAGTATAGGAAGCAAATACTAATATTAATATATTTATTCCACCTACAGGAAAGTGCATTGCAGTCTAAGAGAAGAAAATATTTTGACAGGTAAGATTTCCCAAGCGTTCTCGTTCTAGTGTCCCACGTAGATCTCAGTGTTGGCATTCATTCTCTCTAACTCAATGGAATTAAGCCATGGGCGGCTCCACACCTCGAATGTGCACTGGTAGGGCTGAAAGGAAAAACAGACAATACATTTAACATTAGGATCTTTCAGGTGGTGTTGTCAAGTCAAGTACGCAAAATTTATTTTGATTTATTATTATGAAATAAAAAACAAAACATAGAAACATCAGAAATCAATTTGTTTCAGATGATCACTTTACACTTTACAACAGTTTAGGCAAAGTCCGTAGGGTTACGATATGACTGCATTGCTCCGGTTGTGAACTTGTGAAATAAACGTAGCAGGCCACTTCCTGTCATAAAAAAATAACTTCGTTAATTCACCGCCAGAAGTTTTAATAAAAAAAAATATGCATGTTTTATCTGTTAGCGTGTTCATGGAGTGTTCAGGAAAAATATAAAATCTAAAATATATTTTTCCAGCTCAACAACTTAAACGTGGGACAAAGACTGCTTGCGTGGGACAATGTGGGTGACGTAGATGAGTGCTGACAGGTGGTGTGAATTTTGTGTTTGGAGTTTAGCACTCGAAATACAAATGCACATCTCAGCTCTCCCTCTGTAGCTGAATAAGCCTAAAGTGAGTTTTCTTTTCTTCACTGAGTTCAACCACTTACAAGCAGTCTTTATTTGTTGTAGTTCCATCATATTCTGTGAGATTCTTACTCTAAATCTGAATAAGTATGCGGGACCACTGTGTGCGGTAAGACCATCTCTTTGCTCACTGTATTACCATCTGCCGGCATGCATTGCCAGTGCGTAACACGTAATTACACAATCAAACAATGAACACATACTGCCCATACAACAAATGTACCAGAGACAATTATGAATACACCACAATTCTGTACAGCTTATCTTATTGGTCACTTTTAATGGTTTAATTTTGACCTGCTGTTAGACAAAAACTCCGCTCTTTTCCAAAGTGATTGAAAGTGTAACTGCTCTATCCACCAACTCCTTATAGATGTCGAAAAGAATGTGAATGGCATTTTCTGTTGTCAGTCATGTCTGTCCCAGACAGTGTTGGTCAAGTTACTTGAAAAAAGTAATCAGTAACTAATTACTGATTACTTCCCCCCAAAATTAATCCCTTTACTTTACTGATTACTTATTTTCAAAAGTAATTAATTACTTAGTTACTTTTTAAAAACACGATTTACAACCTGAATAGGTGATAAAGCGATAGATCTTTCAGCCCAATTCTACTTTTCTGCATAATCCATCATAC